AGTGATCTTTGAACATTCTAGGAAGCAATGTCACTTTTGTTTTCGCTTTTTATGAAATTACGAGAGCATGAAGCCTTTGACTGCACTCTCATTTCTCTTGAAAACATAGAGATTCTTTGAAAGCAAGGCGTTGCTAGGAACAAACGAATAAAGAAGCCTTTGAGAGATCAATCCATCTTAAAAAAAATTGCGGAAAAAATTAAGAAGAACAGAAATGGCTTTCCCCACTCCCTTAGTGACCTTGCGTTTTTTTTGATGACGCAGAGCATACTCCAAGCCTCTGTATTTGTTTTACGGATTGATTGTCATTTAATCGGTCTTCTAGAAAATAATTGTTGAATGTCCACTTTACATACTTGGAGGATTCCTCCAATTTGCATTGGGTCTCGCAGACGGGCCATATTTCGCTACCTGCGCAGGTGTAACTTTGTAGGCTGAATAAAAAGCAGTGTTTGTGGTTGGATCAAAGAGGGAGACAAAATAGGGAGGGCTGTTTGGAGAATCACCGCTTAGCTTCTGTTGGATTTCTTGCCCTCGGTTGATGTCAGGAAGGCCAACTGGACGCTTGCCTCCAGCGAAAAAGGGAGGAACGGCAGGTCTACCCCAGAGAAATCGTTTGCCCTCATTTGACCATTCCTCTGAAGAAAAAGCATGCGCAGTCAGTTACATGATTGCAAAGCAAGAATTAGGTACTCTAATCGGATTAATATAACGACTTAAATAAAACTAATTTAATCGATCATGTAGTTAGACAATGGCCTAAAGTTAAGACGACTGGGCGGCATCACCATCAGTCCAATGGTTCCTTTAACGTCAGTCGGGCTTAAACTGAGTCAGGTTTCTTGAAGCTAATTGGTTAACTTTATCAGGACAAAACCGCGTATTAGAAACTAAAATTTGAAAACCTGCTTGGCACCCTCGCATAAGCACCATTCTAGGCTAAAATTTAAAAACAAGTTGTTATATTTGGAATATAGAGTAGTTATGGTTAAAATTTAAGTATCTAGAAGTTTCTATAATGACTTGTCATGCTGACTTGCATGCATGACCTTTATGGAACTTTCTAGAACATCCTGCTCGGTTTTATTGTTATTATGTAACAACCCCAAACTGGCGTGGTTGTAAATATCTGGATTGTTCTGGAATACTTTGTAAACGAACATACCGACTTGGTCGTGTAGTGGTAGTGGTAGAAGTAGTTGCTGATGTCAGAAGAGACCGACTGTTTGGAAAGCTATACCAATAGAAAGAACTGTTGTGGAAGATTGTTAATTTGAACGAACTCTGGAGAAAACTGTGATTTTGTGCAGTGGTGAGCTACGATATAGTTTGTAGAGGGCGTAAGTAAGTTAATGAGGATACTTGCTGTATTGTCTATTAGAGTCGCTCTAAGTAAGAATATTACATGTCAATTATCAAAGTAGTTGACTTTGTAGTGTTTTTCTGTTGTTTGAATTATACCGTAAGAGTTTTTTTTTCGAATATTTTACATTACATCGCATAAATCACAAAAAAGGCAAAAAAAACAAGCCGGAATACTGACAGTGTTATACTATCACAAAACTGTATTGTCAATGCATCTCATAGTTGTGCAACATATCCAAATGTGTGTAGAAGTTAATCATGTAAAGCAGGGAACTATAAGGCTGGTAGAGGGCGCAGTGTAATACCCACACCCATTAAAGGCAGATTCTTTTTTTGAAACAAAAATGAAGAACCTGACTGAGATCGTAGGTAGTTTAATTTCACTGTTAACACCATTTATATACGGAGGCTAACTTGAAAAAACCAAGGTTTTATATACAGGTTTTCTGTAGCTTTCACTAGCTGCGACTGATTGGTTTCGAATCACTGGGTAAGTAAGCTCGTTTTCTTCGGCCTGTTAGTTCTGGTAATATCTTGAAAAAGCCATCTCAGAGTACTGGAAGCTGTTTTCATTTGCCGAGAGAAGCTTGCCTTAAGTCAGTTGGTGTAGATTTAATGTTCTTGGTGAACTGATAGAACGGTCTAAGAAGGTTGAAAACTTTTTCCATTTTAGAACACAACGCAGCTTCAACTCCCACGACCATGAAGCACGTCAAGGGGAAGCACGCAACGGTGACCAGAACACGACTCTTTTAAGACGAATATTTCAAAAATCAGGCCTCACGAGTCGATTAATTCGGCGAAAAAAAGTATAGACGTTTCCTTTCCTTCTCAGAAACAAGCAAGGGAACAACTAAATTAGAATAAGGACGCGGGAATCGAATACTAACCCAACTCCCCCAACAGACCTAGCACAACCAACAGATTCCATAATTTTACACATGGAATCATTTTAGAGACCTATAAATTGTTTGCGTTTACCAGTGAAGTTACTTTTCGAGAGTGAGGTAACAGGTAACACTGAGATAGCAATGGCGAAACACCAAACGGTTCTCTTCATCTTGCTGGATCCGGTCGTCGAATGCAGACTGGATCTAAAGGAACTGATACGAGTGAAGAAATATTCAGTAACTGAAAGTGCCTAAACGGTCTCTTACTTCAGTACTGTTGTGGTGTTCTAGTTAGTTAATCATAGGGTAGTATGATTCAGTGATTCATTTGTGTCTAGTTAGTTAAGTTTTGAATTCGAAATCTGTACTGAGTTATTTGGGTTTAGGTATTACGATGAGATCTTGATGTTCACCGACTTAGGTGTCGTTCATTCTACTGTTCTTGCCTTAGAGCTACACTCAAGTTCTTTTTTGGCTTTCGCAATCAAAGATTGACTGTTTGATTGGAAACATCAATTAGATGTCTTTCAATCGTGAAATTCTCCCGAAGGTAAGTCAGGATTCTGATACGGCCAGTTGGTTCGCGAGTTGGTTCGTACTTCATAAGAATCAGAGTTGGAGTCAGGTAGAAGGTATAAGATTTAGAGTCAGCCAGATAGTAACTAGAGAAAAAATAATTTAATCTATGTCAAGCAGAAACGTAGCACAGAACAAGGATTAAGGATTTACCTAAAGGATAGCTCTAGAGTCTCCGGTGCCTTCCCCTTCGCGTGGACGTTCTTCAGCTGGATTCTCCCTCTCTGCGCTTTACCAATACTTTGAACTTGACATTAAACAGGTATCAAGTTACCCCACCAGTTTGAAGGCATTTAAGTGGAAATTCGTTCATGGGAACGAAAAGGAATTCCAGAAATTGACATCATTATGATGATAGGAACACAAGGTTGACAGGATAGATAGTCGTCATATGTCTCATTATAAATAACAAATCTACACAGCATATACTATGTTGAGAAACTGATTTTTATTAAAAAATGCAGGAGATCACAAACTCAGTTTACAATCTCTTGAAAACTATAAACCTTCTATGATGGGTTGTGTGGCAAAATAAACGTTAATTTCGTCTTTTTTCCCCTCTTCAACGATTTTAAACGAAGGTTTTAATTTCTCAGTGGACATATGGCATTAAGAGAAAGAACTGAATATTAAATATTTGAAATGATTCAAAGAAACACATCCAACTACACGATAGCAGAGCCGTTATTTCGTGTTTTTGATGGTAGAGGCCTTCCAATAGGGTTTTTTTATCTCGCTCTGGCGCTTGTTTGCCATCACATCTGTCCAGTCTGTTTGGTTAAGACAAATGTGACACTGAATTATTTTTATTTCTTAGTAAGCTTGTGATGAATTGCCGAAGTTGAAATCAAAGCTTGTTTTCCCATCGATTGTTTTATTGATATGTGCTAACGTAAATGACGAGGACGTTTGTGAGAAGTTTTATTGATGAATTTGTCAATGAATGGAAACATGTGAACTGATTAAACAACATCAGCATAAGCACAACCATAAAGTGGAAATAAGGAAGCCAAAATAGGCTCTATTTGATAGTTAAACGTATTTGAATGAGCAATTCAAAAAAGTCTCCTCGTTTTGAAATATCTTTTCTTAAATTATATAAATCGTAATATTTAACTGACATTGTAGGAACTCTTTCTCTGTACTTTATTTTTATTTAGTACAGGCGTGAAAAGAGAAGACGTCCAATTCGCTGGGAGATGTGAAAGTTCCACCACATAGTACTCTTTTGTAACAGCCGCAATTGGCGTGACATGAAATCTGAGGAGTAAAGGGGAAGGGTTTCTGAACAAACTGTGGTGCTGCGTCGGTGGGGAAGTATAACAAGGTAATATGGGTTTTATCAACTGAGTTAATAATGTAATTTGGCCACTTTAAATAGGTTAAAAGCTGACGTTTCAAATGTTAGCCGTTCGTCAGAGCGAAAGCTGAGGGTAGAGGTGGTATTCCTTAAAATGTAGTACTTGGAGAAAAGTTAACAAAATACAATTTCAAAAGCAGACTTTCTTCGTAATGCAACTTATCTGAAATGTGGTAGGGTAAGTAAGGTAGTAGTACAAAACAAGCCAACCGACTTTCCTTTAAAATTCAAATAAATGTAAAGACTTCGAATTTGGCCGAGTCATGCATCCCTTAGTCACTTACCTAGGTGGAATATGATGCGAACACAGCAGTAGCGGAAAGTCAAACAGTCGTGCTGTAGCTCGAAGCGTGAGTTTAAGTCAGAATATTGTAAATGCTTGCGACAGACAATAATTCCATTGGTCAATATAGTGATTCTTAATGCATGACTTTGAAATTTGCCTATCAAATTATTTCACCTGCTTTAGGAACTCATTGGAAAATCATTTATTTGAATTAGGGAAATGAGTAACGTATTATTCTGCAACAGCTTATTGACTAAGAGAATTGTTATACTTTTTCGCAGTCTCAGAGATTTTTGATTTAGCAGTAATTGCGTTGATTTAATTTTTCTAAAGCATTTTAATAGATTATCATCAATTATTGATGTCTATTGTTCTAATTTCTATTCAAGCAAAGAACAATAAACCTTTGAACTATTGGCAGAAGCTAAATCTTTTTGTTACTTTAATTTTCATCCTTTTCGATATTAGTACCAACGTATACTCTGAGAAACGGTCGTATCAAGGAAAAGGTATATAACAAAATTCTATATCCAGACAGGAGCACCATTGCTTCTTCTTATAGGTGCACCCGTAGTTCGTATGGTGCACCGATTTGCGCGATAAATGCACGCTTTTTCATTCCCCTTATTTTGCTATCAGAGAAAATACCTTTTTCTTAAGAAAAGTTTCTCCAAAGTGTTGTAAACTGCAAATCAGTTTCGAATTGATTGCTCCGAGTAAAAACTAAATCCCAAGACTAGAGTAAAAACCACCTTAAAGGAGAATAAAGGAAACTTCTATTGTGCGTGAAATCTTGAACATTTCAGCTGAACGGATATCTCTATGAACTTGTGTTAATACTTTTAAAAGGTCAGTCACCAGGTTCTAAGATCAACGGGTACCTGTTACTACCAGATTAGTCAGGAAATGAGGGCGGAGCTTGTGTAAGGTTCTGAAGTAAATTCCAAATGGGCTGTGAATATTCTTAAAAGTGCTTTTAAGCGCCAAAAACTTTTTTTTATAATTCAGTCAGCAAAGCAAAC